TAATATTATAAAAAATTGATATTGAAATAGTATGTGTTAAAAATGACTGAAAAAATTTTTATACCTTGACATCGTGAAATAGGTAATCCGCCATTTTGATGTTTTTTTTTTCATTTCATCAAAGATCTTGTTGAATAATGGTGAATTAACCTTAATATTATCAAACATAAAAGCCATTTGAAATGAGAATTTGGCTGAATTTTTTTTTCCTATTGAGTAGTATTTTTCGCTGAATGTGATTTTGGTTCTTATTTTTTCAACTATTTATAAAGTTTTAAAAAATGGTCATTGATTGTATAATTTAATTGTCAAGTGATTGCTCAGTTTTAAAGAATAATTGATTGATTTTAATTTATTTTTTTGACTGACTATAATATTGTCCCGCCATTTTAATTGATGGATTGCATGATTCTTCATTTGTATAATATTCAAAATTTAAGATAAATAATGAGTATATCATACTGTAGAAATTTTATGGTTTGTAAATATAAACGATATAAGTATAAACTATTTAACCTACATATAAATCACTATAATGATAATTGTAGAACATAATAGTGATTATGACCAATTAATTAGATAAAAAATGATTTGGTTATGCCATAAAAAGTAATTAACTATTGTTATTAAAAAATATTAATGAGTTAAAAAATAATTATTATTTTAAATAAGTAGCTTAAAAAATCTAAATATTTTTTTATATGTATAAACTTTCTTATATCCTTTAGTTATTATTAGTTATTATGTAATTATAAAATATATAATTTAATTAGTTAATGAAAAATATAACAACTTCTTTTTACAATTAGTTGAATAAAATGTGCTGATTTTATTTTGCAATAAATTCTTTGTGAATAGTTATATATATAGGAATATAAATATAATCATAACGGGAATGATATTTATATAAAATACATTAAATATTATTATTATTATTATTATTATTATTATCATTATTACTACTATTTGAGGCTATGAATTTTATTTAAACGAATGCATTTTTTTGAAAAATTAAACACGTTCTTATGCAACAATAAATTGTCTTTTATAAGAACGATTATTTTATTTTAATTTTCTATTTTTGTATTATACCACAGGTTTTGGTAGAATAATTTGTAATCATTCTATTTAAAAAATATATAGAATAAAAGTTAGAATTATTAAATGAGCGCATAAAATCGTAACAATTAATTTCAACATTAGTATGCTTATATATTAAGTAAAAAACCAAGATACTATGTGTATAAAAAAAATGCAATATGCAAATTTTTATTGTTGTGATAATTCCTAATTATATATATAGATTATTTTAAATTTTAATTAGTTTTTATTAGATATCATAAAAGAAAATAAAAAGAT